CACACAGCACCACCCATCTCAAACTCATCATGAACGTGTGCGCTTGTCAGACACGTTGGAGGTTCTGTTGCATAGTCACACCTCCATGGTCACTGTACTCAGCTGTCCTGCCTGTTGTATGGTGATGCTAGCATTCATTGGATTAACACATCTTCTGAATGGAAGTCGTACTATGCTTTGCTACCATAATTCAATTCAATGTTGCAAAGTAATACATAGATAACAGCTCTTAAAATTTACTATTGTCCTTACAGAACAAGTTTGCTGACATCTCTCTCTCTTTCTGTCTCTCTTGATATTTAGATTACCATAGGTTTAAAGAAAGAAAATAAACTTGGTAGCCCCAGAGAAAGCTGACCCACCAGCTGTCTGGTCAGTAATAACAGAGCAGGAAAAAGTCTGAAGTCTGTTCATCTCTAAGCTAGGTAGCCATGCCCAAGAAGCATAATTTCAGTGACTAATGATGTTCTTACACTACATCACCCTCCATATTGACCACAGTGGGGTCACCACTCCATGATCTGCCACTAGCCACCAACCTCCTCTTTGTGAAATTCCTAACCAATAAAATTAACAGTGTGTTTATCAAATGTATACAAACTCGTGTTTTATGTATGCATGTATTTTATATGCACTTGTTGTATAGATAGATAAAGAAGGAATAGTAAAATAAATAACAAATAAGGCAATAAGATAAAAAGAAGACCTGTGTCTTCACCACCCAGCTTAGGAAATAGAACTTTGTGAGTGCCGATTAAGTCTCTTCTGGGCACCTTCCCTTCTTCCCCCTCCCTAGAGGTGACTGTCTCAGTTTGTTCAGTCATCTACTGTTTTTCCTGGTAGTTGTACTGTTTCATTTTTTTCTAAACACGGAAAGGTTTCAAAGCCTATTAGAGTTTGTGTTGCTTAATTTCCTTGATGATAAGCTCTTTTTGTCTTAATATTTCATAAAGGTTATCTGTCTAGCCAACACAGCCTAACACACAGTGACTGCTTAACAAACACTCTTGAAATTTTTTCCATAGGCTTTCCTTTTCCCTTTCTTGGTGATAGGGTGGGTGCAATAAGGTGCAGTCAATGCCCGGACTAGTTCAGACTGGCCTCTTCAGTGGGGTTTTGAGATAAGGTGCTAGGCTGAGAGGTTGCTATCTCCCGAGGAAGACGTTTTCAACTCCAGAATGGGAAGGGGCAGTGGTGAAAAATGGTGCAAACTCAGCTCAGTTCGTGGAGTTGACTCCAGGTTTTCCCACCAGGGAAATCTAGTTGAGTAAGAGAATGACGTCTGATTTGAAAGCCTTAAATTCAGCTTAACAGTCAATTTTAGTTGAAGAGAAATCTTATTGTATCCTTTCTTTTAGTTTTTCTCTCTATTTATTTTGTGGCTTTCAAAAAAGTATAACTACAGTACTGGGTTTTGGAAGAAGGAGTTGTTAAACTTAAAACTCTGTAATTACTCTATAAAGGCTGTGTATTTGCATTTAAGATGCACTGAGCCTTAAGTTTTAGTGCTCAGTGTATGGAGCTTTTATAAGGAGGGGGGTACTTCCAAAAATAAATGAACTCTATGGAAAATGTTCATCAGCTGATTTCCAGGAACTAGTGAGTATCTCTATTGTACAAATGAGGAAATGGGCACGACAGCTAGAAGTTAGCCCAAAGCCACACTGTCATTGGCCTTAGGAAGATTTAAGCAGTGGTCTTGCTTATAATGAAATGCAGTCATGTTTTCATGTAAGATACTATGGGCCTTAGTCAAATTGACCTAAATTAAGATTCAGGGACTAATAAGCATTTTCGTATTTGGAAGGAACTAGCTTGTTCCTTAAACTTACCTTGGGAGTTTTAAAGCAGACATAGGTTTTTTGAGGAGCCTATTTGCTTGAATCAAGAGTTCTGTATCTGACTGCGCACAGCAGGTCATACCTGTAATCTTAGCCCTCTGGGAGACTAAGGGATTCTGAGGCAGGGGAATTCTTTGTGCTCAGGAATTCCGGACTACCCAGTCTCTGGTCTCTACTAAAATTAGAGAAATTAGCCAGGCATTATGGCAGGTGCCTGCAGCCCTAACTACTTGGTAGGCTGAGGCTGGAAGATCACTTGAGCCTGGGAAATTGCTGTGAGCTAGCCTGATGCCAGGACACTCTAGCCTAGGCAACAATGAGACTGTCTTAAAAAAAAAAATTCTGTGTATCTTACTAAACATTGCTATGAAAACTGAAAAGCAACAGGTTCAAGTATATTTCACACTGCCGGGGAAAATGGTGTGAAAAGTATAGTAATGACTCAGTTTGTGGCATTCTGCTTTCTCTAAAGTTTTTATCTTTTGGGGACATTCTACTTTAATAGTTGACAAGAAAGCAGCCTGCTATTAGAAACTTATTTTTTGAAGACACGTCTCAGACCATTAATTAAGGGTGTGTATACAGTCTTCCAAGATTGCATGGGAGAGCAAGGGTTTATGTTGAGGAACCACAAAGTCCTCCATTTTTAGGGAATCTTCTGTATTATTGTTCTTTTGTTAGGCAAAAATTGGGAGCTCATTTTATATACACTTTCTTCAACATTTGATTAAAGCAAAAAAGATGTCTTTGCTTTTTCTTTCTGGTTAATCTCTACTTAATTGAAAAACAACAACAGGCCATAAGGAGGTGACTCATGCCTGTAATCCTAGCACTCTGGGAGGCTGAGGTAGACTGCTAGAGCTCAGGAGTTCGAGACCAGCCTGAGCAAGAGTGAGACCCTGTCTCTACTAAAAAGGTAGAAAAATTACCTGGGCTTTGTGGTGGGCACCTGTAGTCCCCACTACTTGGAAGGCTGAGGCAGGAGGACTGCTTGAACCCAGAAGTTTGAGATTGCTGTGAGCCAGGCTTGCCATGGCACTATAGCCTGGGCTAGACAACAGAGTGAGACTCTGTCTCAAAACAAAAAACAAACAAACAAAAAGAAAAACAAGCAAAGAACAAAAATCACAACAGTAAGCCCTTCTTCATTCTCCTCTTTTTATTTCTTCTTAAATCTCACTTGGGAACTTGAGCCCATTTTTTTCATAGTAAATATTTGAGAAGAACATTGTTAACTGTAACTTTGACATGGAGGCACATGAGTATGGCCTCAGTAGAGACAGGATATTGATTCAGACATCAATTACTCACCTGTGGTGGTAAAATTCTAGAGTCCTTACTAGAAGCATTATTTATGTATCCCATGTAGAAATTGTGGCAAAGCCACTGTGTATTTGTTGAGAGAAAATGCTAGAAAGAGGGAGAAAGCAAAGCAAACTATTTACAGAGTCTCACCCCACTAGGAGTTTTGGATCCTGAAATTTGATTTTGGCATTTCACCCTGTGTTGATCAGATTTGGGGACCATAGCTGCTCACTGAGATTACAAGTGACTGATTAGCCAGAATGACAATATATTAATGTTAAATCTCGGGGAAGAATCAGGCAGAATAAGCAGGCATGATTATTTGCTCTTGGAAGGTAGCATCCAGTAATATTTAATAGTGGTGATACAATAGGATTTTGAAAAGCCAACTGGTGAGTTGGGGTTAGTACCCAACCCACCTACCTTTGTGATAGTGGACCAGCAGCCTAACTTTTCTAAGTGTTTTTTTCTCTTAGCTTTGGAATATTAATGTCTTATAAAGATCTTCAATGAGCTAATGCCTTAATACTATAATACTGGGGATATAAAAAGCTATTGTTATTATACTGTCATTTTGGCTGTGGTCTTATTTATAACTATGCAAGTCCAATTAGAAGACTGAGCAATGGTTCAGAAAATTACTTGTTGAGCAAGAATTAGGACCCAAGGAAGCTAGATGTTCTTAAGGATGCCTCTATTGGGCCAGGACAGCAGGGATGCCTCTATGTTGACATAAAGGACACCGTTCCCAGAATCAGGACGCCCTTTACCTAGACAGTGTTGGGTAAGATTTAATTTGTACCTTCCCTTTTCCTAATTTCATGAAGTCAGCACTTTCAGTCAGGGCCTCTAACCTATTTGGTTACAGCTGTGTTCTAAACAGCAGTTTCACCTTCTCTTCAGCTTCATTTTCCAGGGTTTCAGTTACCCATGGAAAACGAAGAGGGGTCCAAAAGGACTAAATGGAAAATTCCAGAAATAAATAGTTCCTAAGTTTTAAATCGCACACTTTTTTGAGTAGTACAATAAAAACTTGCGCTATCCCACTCTGTCCGGCCCTGGATGCGATCCTGGCTGTAGACAGTCCCGCCCACCAGTCACTCAGTAGTCGCCTGGATTACCAGGTCGCCGGCTGAAGTGTCACATGCCTGCATTGGAGTTACCTTCATTTTACTTAATCCTGGCCCCCAAACACAAGAGCAGTGATGCTGACAAGTTGAACGTGATGTAACGTGCTTCCTTTAACTGAAGGGGTGACCGTTCTGGACTTAACTCTCAGCTGCGGTTGCTGACATCTCTGTAAAGCATGAATCTTGTATCCAGGAAATTGTGAAGAAGGAATCCATCTTCAGTTTCTGGCATCTGCTGGGGGTCTGGGAGCTTCTCCCCCATGAATGAGGGAGGCCGCAGTAGTAACAACGGAATCCCTCTGAATACCTTGTTTTGCTTTCAAAACATGTTTTTAGGATATTTCATTGTAATTCCACGATTGCTGCTGCAGGTTCCACATTCAGGAAGGGAAGTTTGTAGGAAAGAAGCTAAGTAATCCCTGGGATGGGCCGAGGGTGCCGCGTGTTTATGAATGGCAGTTGCCTTCCTTTGACCTATAGCAATGGGAAAGCTTCTCATTCATTGGTTAAAGCAGAGCGGCCTTGCTGCTCTAGAGGCTGAGGTGGAGGCTGAGGTGGGAGGAACTTTTGAGCCCTGAAAGTTGAAGACCCATATGCCCTGGTCAACAGAGCGAGACCTTATTTTAAAAAACCCAAAAAACTAGAAGTAAAGTAAGTGGCCTTATACAAAGACCTTCCCTTAAAAGCCCGTATTTTCTTTTTAATTTACTCATCTCTGGTGTAGGTATTGACATCTTGAAGCTTGTAGCAGCCCAAGTGGGAAGCCAGTGGAAGGATATCTATCAGTTTCTGTGCAATGCCAGCGAGAGGGAGGTAGCGGCTTTCTCCAGCGGGTACACAGCCGACCACGAGAGGGCCTACGCCGCTCTGCAGCACTGGACCATCCGGGGCCCCGAGGCCAGCCTGGCCCAGCTCATCAGCGCCCTGCGGCAGCACCGGAGAAACGACGTTGTGGAGAAGATTCGCGGGCTGATGGAAGATACCACCCAGGTAATGCAGCCCTGCCCCTGTGTCTTCACCACTAATTTGTCTCGCGCTTCCCATGTTACCAGGTATACGGGAACAAGGAAAAATAACTGATGCTGGACATCTAGGTACCGCGCATGCGCGCGCACACACCCATACACACACACACACACACACACACACACACACACACGAACGCACCCCACCTTCCAGGACAGTGGTTCTCAAGGGTTGTCCATTAGAATCACCAAGGGAACTTTTTAAAAATTCTGATGCTTGGATCCTACTGTAGACCAGTCAAATCAGAATCCCCTAGAGGGAAGACTAGGAGTCGGTATTTTTAAAAGCTCTCCCAAGCGATTTCAGTGTGCAAAGTTTGAGAATCATTGTCTTTCTTTGGTGGGGGGCGCAGAGTATCACTTTGTCACCCTAAGTAGATTGCGGTGGTGTCATAGCTCACAGCAACCTCCAACTGTTGGGCTCAAGTGAACCTCTGCCTCAGCCTCCCAAGTAGCTGGGACTACAGGCACCTGCCACAACACTGGGCTGTTTTTAGAGACGGGGTCTGGCTCTAGCTCAGGCTGGTCTTGAACCTGTGAGCTCAGGCAATCTGCCCACCTCGGCCTCCCAAGTGGTACGGTTGCAGGCGTGAACCACTGGGCCTGGCCTGGAATCTTTGTCTTTGGGGGTAAATTCTAGTATCATGCTATGCAGCCATATTTATTCTTTTGCTACCCAAAAGAAAAAAATCATTTTGTATACATTTTGAACAAAACCAAGAAAAAGGCTTTTTCCCCTATGCCCTCTGCTCTTCTGGAGGATGTCTTTTGTTAGGTGGCTTAGCAAGGCTGCACCTTCTCTCCTGAGAACGTGGGTGGTATTGGCAGTAGTTGGGCACAGGATCTGTCTTCGGGGTTGTTCAGTCCTGTATGCCAGCTGGGAGCAGGGGGCTCAGGAGTGTCATTTATGTACAGAATGAGCCCGGTCTTTGGAGCCAAACAGAACTGGACTTAAATCCTGGCTGTGGTGCTTCCTAGCTGGGCGACCCAGCTAATGTTCTCTGCCTCTGTCATTTGCATTTGTAAGTCTAGTTTATAAGATGAATTAGGACGAGAAATAAAGCATATAAAATGCCTGACTCGCTGAAGGTGGTCTACAAGTGGAAGTTAAGATCACGATGTAGCTTGTTTTACTTAGCCTTTCTTTTATTATAATGTATTTCCTGGAAAGGCCATGAATTAAGTATAGATTTGGGTATTGAATC